AGAGAGAGAGAGAGAAGAAAGAAGAAAGAAAGAAAGAAAGAAAGAAAGAAAGAAAGAAAGAAAGAAAGAAAGAAAGAAAGAAAGAAAGAAAGAAAAGAAAGAAAGAAAGAAAGAAAGAAAGAAAGAAAGAAAGAAAGAAAGAATATTGCTAGGTGTATTCTCCTATTGGTGTCATTTATACTGATCCAGAACTTCAGTTAGATGAGTTAATCTAATCCATAGTTTGCGAAGACACTCACTTAGAAATAATTATAGTAAGACAAAAGACCTTTTAAAACTCTTCTACCATGATTGACTGGCAACTGCATTTCTGATAGAGTGGGTGAAACCACTGGAGGGGAGCTAGCTGAAGCTTATTTGCTTTAGGGTGGGCTTATTGATTATCTGCATTTGCACAAAACTCTTCCTCCTGTCCCTAGACAGTTGGCCTATGTAATTGAATAATAGTCCGTAAAATATGTTTTTGTATAAAGTGACATATATGTATGTATTATAGATAACACATAAGATTATACTCCAGATTGTGATTTTGGATAATGCCTTAAAACTCCAGTTGTTAAAAACTTCTGTAATAATTATCTTTACATAAAAAAAGTTGATTTTGAATACCATCTGTGATTTTTTTTTTAATTTCACATATCTTTGTCTTGATTTGAGTTCTAAGGCTATTTTATAAAGTTTTCAAAAATTTGTCATTAATAAAAATATTATTTAAGGACTGTATAAATCTATAAACATTCAAAAATTAGGTTACTAATGTATTGAATTATACAAACAGAATAATCTAGTATTATTTACAGGATGTATATCTAAAACATATTTACATGAAAAAGGCTTCAAAGAAAGCTAGGATGATGGAATAATACAGCTAGAATTGAACTCTGCAATTTCAACTTAGGTGTAAAATACAATTTAGCCTAGTTCTCTTGTACTAGTTTTCTGGAGTGCCTTCTTAGAGGTTAGATGCTCAGAAAACTTATGAATTCACAAGATATGACTGTATACCAGTTTTCAAAATAAAACATGCAAATCTTTTAGCTCTTATTTTTCCTGGGGTTATGAGAATGTTAATGTAAAAGATAAACAAAGGAAAATTACCGAACTTGTACACTAAACCATTAAGTTCTTTTTCTATAAACTTTTATATTTGATAGGAGGTATCATAGGCCTTTTTGGCATCTCATTTTATATTGAAGACTTGATTATTTACAGTTTAAGATATGCTCCTACAAGAAAAGTAAAAGCGGTCTTCATGTAATCTTTCATCTGAAATTCTAGATTTTGTACTTTTTCAAATAGTCCTTGAAATTCATGTCAATATTATCATTTCCTCTGTTACTGATGGAGAAACTCAAGCACACTGATTTTTGGCTTCTGCACATAACTCAGTAAATGAGAATCATGGCATTTTACAATTAGATGTATCAGCAAATCCAGCCTTCCTCATTTTCTGATGTAAAATCTGATGTCTAGTCTGGAACCCAGGACTCCTGGTACCACATTAAAACAGAACTCTATTTAGAACTTGGGCTTCCTGTTTTCAGGCCACAAAGCTAAGCTCTCTTCCTGAAGTTACAAAAACAGTCTGCCCAGTTCTCTTCTGTGTGCTGGGGAAAGCTGTTGCTCAATCATGAGGAGAAACAAACAAACAAAAAGAAAACATACTAAAAAAAACCCTCCTGGAACCCAGGTGAGAGAACTGTAGGGTGACTGATGCTTATTAATGAGGCACTGTGGTCTTCTCTATTTATGAAGCTCTTATTCTAAACTGTCGGCAATATCCACATGTAAAGTCAGGGAACATCATACTCCCAGTTCTTCTTATGGTTTTTATAATTCCACTTCCTTTCCCCCAGCATTTCTAAACAGATGCTAGTTTCTTTAGAGTACCTCTCCTTATTTCATTCTGATTGCCCCTCCTCGTTATCAGTTATATTACTTCCTATCCTTTTATCCTTTCTGACCTCTCTCTCTTCCTTCAGTCTTCAAGTTTCACTTGAAGCATCCCTAACATGAAGGCTACCTACTTTTAGATTTACCTTCCTAATTATCAGTCTTCAAGTTTCATATGAGTCACCGAACAAGATAAAAATATGATTAAAACTAGAAAATATATATAGATTTAGGGGTAAATTGCACAGGGCTCATGGGTAGGGACTAATAGAGGCCATTCTTTCTCATCTCCACGACTAATTCATACACAGATAATGGCAAAGTATTTTTTATCTTTTACAATAGCACTTTTTAGATGGTAACAACTGTGGCTGAGATGTGTTCATATAAAGCACAGAGATTTGTATTACAATGGTAACCAAGACAGCTTTATCATTAGTTCTGCTTACTGCCAAGGTGATGATGATGGTAATCAGAACTATGATATATAACGAGGAAGTTAAATCTAAAAGTAGGCAGTCTTTGTGTTTGGGATGCTTTTCAGTAGTCATTTGTTGGGAATGTGGTATATTTGCTTCTAGTATATAATTTGAAACCAAATCACAATGGATCCAAAATGAGCAACAATTTGGGGGTGTGATTAGTAGAGACTTGGAGTTATCCACCTCTCACTCATTCTGTGCAGTTAGCATTATAATCTATATGAAGAGAATTTTTCAGTAATTCTCTGAGATGATTTCTCCTTCTGAGGAAATAAGGGCTTTAAAGTAAAACTCTCCATTTCTGGTTCTTATATTTCTCTACTGATTTATCTTAAAGACTTACTGGCTGCAGGCTTTTTCCCCTACATCAATGGAATTGAATTTCCACCTAATGTTAAGAGGACAACAACTGGTTTAGCCAACTCATTGTCGCATTTTATACTCCTCCAAGCTAAATGTTTTTTGGAAAGTGATAATAAAAATTAGATGACTTATGATGCTGAAAAGAAATTCAATGGGAGAGGAGAGAAGGTAAGAGAAGGAGATATGGACTAGAGCATCCTTTTTCATTTGTCTTTATAAAGGATAATACAGTCAAAATTTGATTTGTTTAGTCTTACAATTAAGATGGAAGCAGTTGCATGCTTTATCTTAAATTACCCAGATTTTTAATGCTGCAATATGTTTGAAAGTTTGGAGGATCATTCCCAAAAAAGTTTCTTTAAAATCCATGTCTTATTTCTGCATCCTTAGAAAAAATTAAGACTCCCCTGGCTCTGGATCTCTAAACATCATGCTGTACACAAATAGTAAAGTTCCTTATAAAATGTCAGAGGAAGTAAGAGAAGAAAAATATTTGAGCTGTTTCATACAGTACTGAAGTTATTTCATCTGGGTTGAGCTTGGAAAGAGTCTGATTATCCCCACGTTATCTGAAATTCTTGACATCCAAATAAAGACAGAGCATGTGACTCCCCTTAAGGGGGTTGGAACTCATCCAGTGACATGGGAGGCAGGGCTTCAGCTGACTTTAGATGACTAGTATTTACTGGAGGTGAGATAGTAGTTTTGAGTGTTTTCACTGCCTTGATATATAATCAATATATATATCAAATAGTTTTTCATAAAAACAATAGTTATGTTTGTAAAAATGAAAAATAAAACTTCTTACTCTTATAGATCTATGTCAGAGCTAATATAGTAGACTCAAACACATGACTTAGTCTGGGAATACATTAAATGCACTGATTGGTTTATGATTAGGATGCCATTAGAAAATAATAACATCAAAAGTCTATTTTAAGATAAACAACTTTGTCTCAAACTCCAGTGATCATCTGATTTTTGCCTTATTGATCAGGAAAGCCATAAAATAATTTCAAGTAAACTACTTGAAACAGGAAATACAAACATGCATCACATTTTAAAAGAGGCATGAATTTTGGAACTTTAGATTGGTATGAATTCAGTTCTGGTATCTGATTCAGAATTATTTTCATTGTATTCCAAGCTAATTTGACATTATAGTAAAATATGAGAACTAAGCTGAATCCACTACAGGAGTTTTGTATTGCAGAAAACAGAAAACGACTTAACATGACCTCTTAGTTATGACTACATTGTGTGGGAAGCATCTAAAAGTCTTTGTCTGGCTCTGTTCAGCTTGCTTTATGGAAAGCGAAATATGAAAACATTATATTCAATACTGTTCCCAGGTCTCAAGCATCTGGGTCTCAATATTGTAATGGGGAAAGGCTGCATTTTTCATCAACAGAGGGGAAATAAGGAGGAATTCTGAAAATTGCACAAATATATCTGGAATGCCTCAAATCAACCCCTAAAAGGACCTGAATATTTTTTAACTTTAAAATTGATGCTATCCTTTGCTCAAAAACAAAAGTTGAATTTCCCTTATAAGAATCAAACTGTAAGTTATAAAGCATTGCTTTCTCAAGTGAATTACTAGAATTTAAAGAAGAGGGTGAAATATTACCTTACATGTAATAAATATCAAAAAAGTTTTTGAGTCATAAGCTTTGAGACTACAATAACTTTATATTTCCTCAGAAGTTACAAATCAAAGTAGACTCCACGCACAAAATATGTTAGGAAATCAATTACCAAATATAAAGAGTTAAACAAATAAGCAATAGAGTTAAACAATAAGCAATAAATATGAACTCCAACTTAATAGCTTTATAAAAAAGATGATAGAACTTATTTTGAGTGATTTATATGATGTAAAGTAAAAAAAAAATCAAGCTAAACCATGTGGAATGGACAATGAAGACAACATTCCATGAGACTTGTCCAGAAAAAAAAAAGAATTGACAGTGATCTTAACTTATAATGTGGAAGACAAGCCAAGCAGAATGTACATCAGCTGTCAGATTGCTTCATGCCTTTTACAGCAGTTGTTCCTCTGAAAATAGCTTCCAAATGAGAAAGGATGACTACAAAAGGATTAGTGACCATAGGCTTTTCTACACCCCCTAGAGCTCCAGGTTTGTTATGACAGAACAGCAAGAATTTAAAGGAAGTAAATTATGGAATATTAAACAACATCAGGAAGGAGCCACATTTATGCTGAGCTATATTAATGCTACGAAGGATTTTTATTGATACCATTTCCGTGGACTTCCTTCATGATGGCTGTTGCTTGCTGTTTCCTCTGCTTCACCATAGTATTATGTGATAGCATGGTTTTTTTTTTGTTCCCTGTTAAAAACAAAGGGACATTATTGAGGCAATGTGAAGAACTCATTTGGAGTGTCTCATAATCACTGTTTTGAAAGACAGCATCTTTGTTCTTTATTAAAAAGTTATTATCACTTGCTACTGAAAGACTTCAATATGCATTCCTTATCTGGTGACAGGGCATGTTATTCATTGACAGGCAATGTCACAGTGAAAAGAGACCCAGTTTTATCTGGACATTAATACAATGATCATCAGGCAGTGAGAAACAATGAAATTTCTGGCCTCCTTTCCTCTCCCTCTTTTCTCCACAGTATTTTAATCTATCATTGTCTCCTCACTAGCCTTCTTTTGTACCAGCATCACACTCCATCAATTCCAGCAAACTGTAAGAATGAAGAAAACACCATATTAAACCAGAATTCTTTGGTGGTAGCATTTTAATATTTTCAACAGCTGCCCTTTAGAGCAGAGAGCGCCCATTTATGAGTCATAACTCTGGATCTCCTTGGACCACTGACTAATAAAACATTTTAGGAAACAGCATACTCACCTTGCTGTTAGATTGTGCTTTTCAGCAGGGATGAATCCCAGTTTGTGAAGGAAGACTCTGGAGATGGGCTATGGATGGCACTTGGGCCTGATGGTTTTTATCCTTGAACCTGGGACAGCATGGTCCCTACTCTAACTCAAACTGGGAGCTGAGCTTTTCTGAAGAGACTGGCATTCAGCTGACATCAACTGACTATATATAGCACCAAATACTTTAGCTACTCATATCTTCCTGGCGAAAGGGAGGAACAGGGAAAGATTAGGTTCTCTCCATTGTGTTTCTAGTTTGTGAGATGGTTAAATGAAACCTTTGTTAGACATGCAGAAAGTTTTAAGTGAGCACTTTCTGTTTGAACAGATAGTAGCCAAAAGGGACTTAAAACACCATTAAAGATCGAGCTCTTATGTTACATCTAATTGAGGTGACAACAGACACATATACGAATTAGAATAGAATGATAGACTATTCATAATGAAAATGAACAATATAGACAATAATATCTACTTAGATTCAAGAAAAAAGAAAGCAAAGTGTGGGCGGGGGCGGGGGGGGCGGGATCAATAGAACCAGTTCTTAAGCTGTAGTGAGAACTCATGCTAGGTTCAGAAAAGTGGGTGGTATTTAAATAGGGAACTCAGGACGCATTTTGAAGTGGACTATTAGAGGGTGAGCCATAAAGCTGAGTAAAAGCTTAGACTCATAACTGGATCATGCTTTTTGAAGAGACCCTACAGAGACCAGTCCCTGCAAAGTTAACCAGTCTCTACAATGTGTAGGGTCAAAGATTTTCATTTACAGGCATAACAAGATTTGAAAGGTTTGCCTTGGCCTCCTAGATGGTCCTTGGACACAAAAGTTATGTTCTCATCTCTGAGCTTTTCCTTTTACTATTTCCGCCTTTTCCTGGATGAAATAGTATCCTCAACAGATAATCATTATGTTAATTTTGGTTTCCAAAATGAAAATAGATACTGTATTCCTTTTACTATTTCCTTCTTCCATACTTTCCCCCTACTCATATGACACAGTCATGTATTCAGGACTCTGCTCAGATAACAATCCCTCATCAAATCACCCTCGTCAAATCCATAATCACCCTGTCTAAAATATCACTCTCTGCCACTCTCCAGTCCCTTACTCTGCTTTGTTTTCTTTATACTTTTCTGTTAGTTAAGATAAAAGTAAAATGGGAGTGACAGAAACTTTCCCAAAACAGAACTGTAAAAAGATGGAAGATGTTTCTCTCACAGGTAAGCTTAGTCTGGAGGTAGTAATTGAGGGTTGCATGATTGACATAATTATCAAGGGCTCCATTACCCTGTAACTTTTTGCTCCACTATCCCTAAAATGCAGAACCCTTGGGCCTAATTGGCTGCTTCAGCTCCAGTTAGCATGCATATATTTCAACTAGCAGGAAAAAGAAAAAATAATGAGAAGGGCACACTGTCTTCCTTTCAGAACATGTCTGATATTGTTCATACATCTGTTTACATCCCATTGGGCAGAACTTAGTCATATACATACATAACTCAAGAGAGTTTGTAGCTTCTATTCTAAATGGTTATGAGCCCAGTTAAAATTCATGAATAATTTACTAACAAAGGAAATAATGGTTGCTGAGTGACAATCCAGTTTTTTCACTAAGAACATGTCAACATTATTTTATGTGTCTATCTATCTAATAATCTATCTATCTGATATCTCTTTTTTCTATTAACTACGACCCCTATAATGGCTTGGGCTTTGTACCTTCAACAGTTGGAATTATATCTGGGATACAGTAAGCACTCAATATTCATTAAATGAGTGAATGAATTATGTTATGTACAATTCTAAAGGTTCAGTAGGTTGGAGATTAATTGCAGAATGCATTAAAGGTTGAGCATGAGTTTGGAATTCAAATGAACAGTAGCTTGAATATAAAAAGATGGTGGCTATTTGTGGGAGAAGTTGTATTTTATAAGATTGAAATATGTTATACATTATGGTGCCTGATCATTGGATTGGAAGTTTAAGGTTGTAAACTGTAGCACTTTGGGAGGTGAAAGTGGGTGAATCGCTTGAGCTCAGGACTTTGAGACCAGCCTAGGCCAGCTAGCAAAACTTTGTCTCTACCAAACACACACACACACGCACACACACACACACACAAACACACACCAGGTACCTGGCATGCACCTATATTCCCAGCTACTCCAAAGGTTGGGGTGGGAAGTTTTCAGTCCAGGAGGTAGAGGTTGCAGTACCATGATCAAGCCACTGCACTCCAGCCTGGAGGAGACCAGACCTTGTTTCCAAAAAAAAAAAAAAAAAAGACAGGGAGAAAGAGAATGTTAAAAATTGTAGATAGCTACTTAAATCTAGCTATCTACTTAATCTAGCTAACTACTGCAATTGCTTCTAAACAAACATTTGCATTGAAATTATAATTAGATATCAATGAGAAACCCATCTAGCTATCTACTTAATCTAGCTAACTATTGCAATTGCTTCTAAACAAACATTTGCATTGAAATTGTAATTAGGTATCAATGAGAAACCCATCTAGCTATCTACTTAATCTAGCTAACTATTGCAATTGCTTCTAAACAAATATTTGCATTGAAATTGTAATTAGGTATCAATGAGAAACCATTTTGCCAAAGCAAATACATTTAAATTCCCTCTCAAAATCCCTTGAATGCCCTTATGTTCCTGTCTGTAGCCTTTACTATAGTGTGCTATTAGACAAGTCTTTTACACTTTGTTTATTCATCTGTAAAATAGTGATTACAGTATCTATCACATAAAGTCATGGACATTTTACCAGGGACGATTTAGAAATTCCTTATACTTAGCAAAAATTTAATAAATGATTTTTTTCCTTTTGTTGTTATTATTATTTCTGCAATATGCTAGGATTTCGAATATTAGAATAATTAACTGCATTATTCAGTTAAAAAACAGATTAAAAGAGTTCTGGTTTTCCTATTTGATCATCTTTATATGTTTCCAACTTTATGTTACATAGAATTCTAAAGGTTGAAATGGAGTCCTCAGCAGATAATCATTGTTATATTAATTTTGGTTTCCAAAATGAAAATACATACTGTATTTTAAAAGATTGTAAAAGTTTGACTGAACATAAGGTCTTACACCTTTTTGTCTATTTTTCAAATATATTCTACTTAAAATTCTCTGGCCTTATTTTTTAAGTTCATTTATACATACCTAGCTTTCTGGTCTCTTGAGTTATTATTTGTTCTGAAAAAGAAGAAAGAGCAAATCATTGGTGTTGCACTCTAAAGACGGAGTATGCTATCCATTTGCTTCATGACACAAATGCTGAACTTTAAACGGAACTTTAATGTTTATTACAAAGTATTTTCAGGTGGTCCACACTGCAAGCTAATGTCTTTCAATTTAAAATCAAGTCACAGTTAATCATTTTCTATTTTATCTGCATAGAGATTTGGTACCAGACAAAATTAAAATTCAGCTCAAATTTGTCATACTGAGATCATCTTTTGTCCTCAGTTCACACCCTCCCACCCCATGATCTCTCTCTCTCTCTCTCTCTCTCTCTCTCTCTCTCTCTCTCTCTCACACACACACACACACACACACACACACACACTGTGGACTAGAAAAGATGTCTCCTACCCCCAGGGACTCAATTCCTACCCTTGTCCTGCTACTCATTCCTTCCCTTGAAGCTTCTTTTTCACTCCAAGTTAGGCAGAGTAGTACTTTATTTTTCTTTCAAGGCCCAAAGTATTTTAAACTGACTGGTGCTAAAGACAGAAGATAAGATCTTTTCTTACAGGCAAAATAATAGGATTCTAGAAACTTGGGTGTTGGGAGGCTAGTGAAGAAGAACTTTTTGACAAAGATTTTCAACACCTCTGTAACCAAACTATTTCCACTGCTGGAGCGGGCCACGGTTGCATTTCTAACTCCTTTACTACTTGCCAAAAGAGAGAAAAAAAAAAAAGATTAAATAAAGTGACTTTTATTGCTGTATTGCTACCTAACAAAAACCCACACCATGAGGACTCATGAAAGGCAACCTTATTCAGCCAGTGGTAAACATGAGCACTTTAGCCAACTGGTAAACAAAGTCTACATCGACCTTCCTCTAACTGAGCACTTGTTTTTAAATTCTGTGTTGCTCTTGTCCCATTGACAGTCTATATTAGGTGGCTGTGGGCAGTCAGAGATTAGGGGAGGATTGGGGAGGTGGGCAGAATGTGGGAACTCACTGTTTGCTAGGTAGGTAGAGAACACATTGCTATTATTGAGGCTCGGCTCTGGACTGAGGCACACATAACCAGAACAGGACAGCTGCCAGGCCAGTGTTGAGTGGCAAGTCTGAGAGGACAATCAGTTCTTTACCAGCCTTCAGGGCCTCAGTTATAGTGCTAACTCTGGGAGGAGAGAATCTATTTGAAAACGTAACAATGGTGGTGCAAGCAACTCACCTTTGATGGGATTGTCTACAGAAGCACAGCCTTTGGTTTGCGCAAAATAACCCTGTGCTTTCTTCTTGATGCCTAATTGGCCCAGTGTGTCTTCCATGGTTTCTATTTCCCTATACTGAGGAGGATCCAGCCTGTAACTGACCTCCTTAGCAGGCAATCGCAAGGGCAGAATAGGAATAGGCAGTGCTGGGGTAATCATTTTACCAGCCAATGTGGGACAGTACAAAAAAGATAGCTGAGTTTTCAACTGGTCTCATTACAATAAAGGCCTAAGGGCAACAAGAGTAGTAAGAGGAAAATTACCAATCACTATTCAGTTAATGTTTCCTAGGCTCAGTTAGCCCTGTTCTACAGATAAGGAAACTGAAGTTCTGAGAGGTAAGACAATCTTGCATGTTCATCACATGTACCCCAAAACCTAAAATGCAATAAAAAAAAAAAAGAAAAAAAAAAAAAAAAAAAAAACCCTCAAAGCATCATACTCGTAAGTTACAGAGACAGAATTACAAATTGGCTCTGTCTGATCCGAAGGCTTCATTTTTTTTCACCATATTGTGCAGACATCTCTGTTTTCCTCATCTTCTCTAAATTCCTCTGCATTGATGTCTATACAACAAAAATAAAGCAGAGTTGAGAATTGTCAGAGAAATTATTGCAGTGTGCTCCTTACTAATTTCCTTTGGAATTTAACATCCTAATATTAGTTTTGTGAGGTGCTTTTTACTTACAATATTTGTG